GCCTCAGGCTGATTCTCCATTTGAATAGACCTAACAGCTCGTTGAATGCCTTTTAAAAGGTCCTCAGGGGGCCACGAACTCTGGCCCATATATTCAAAAAGACAAACTTCTAGAGCCGTCCAGTTTTCTGTATATTTTCAATGCCTCCAGGTAGTTCATTAGAAATACAAACTCTCTGTAACTTCCTTCCTAATTTCTCCCAAGTAAGTAAATTTGGAGACTCTTGGTCACAAAACCAAGGACAATATTCACTTACAATCTTTAAAAATTGTAATAACTGAGTTTTCTTTATCTGTTTTCCTTTCTGATTAATTATACTGTCTAAAATAGCCAGGTACATTTCCTTATCCGTAGAAGTTGAATTTCCCATTTTAATTAATTTAACGTCTCTTTCCTTCAATAACTCCAGGTACTTTTGTGACTCAAATGTCACCTCTTCCTTTATCTTTATTCTTATCTTTATAGCGCGCTCCCACTCAATCTAACTAATCTAGAATGCCCCCCTCGTGGGCGCCAATTCTACCACGCGGCCTGCGCAGTGGTTTCATTAATGAGGTTCTAGGCATAAAGTTAGTTAGAAGAGATCGAAATAAAACACAAAGACTCAGTTACCTTATATCTATTGCTAGGTCCGAGACGGCTCCCCTCTCTGATTCGCTCCTGTAGCCGCCCAGCAGGGCAGCAGGGATTACTCAGGACTAGCAGGAGAGAGAGAGTTTGAACATGCCTGGGAGTAGCCTTTTATTGTGGAACAAGAGATTCAGGGGAGAATTCCATCCAATGAAGGTTGACGGGGGGCTGCACTCCAAGGTCAGGGTCAGTGATTGGGTCTCCAGGGTCAGTGGTCAGGCACACCCCCACACGGATGGGCTCTATCAGGAAAGGGCCGGGAAAACTTCGACACAGCCAAAGTGCCTTAGACCCTTAACGGGAGTCACCCAATCACGTGTTAGAATGGCTTCCCACAGATAACATCTGTAAAGACTTTTCAAATTAGGTCACTTTCACAAGTACCAGGAGTTAGGACTTGGATATATCTTTTCTGGAGGCCACTATTCAACCCACTTCATCTATGAATAAAGACTTATTTTCTTCCTGAAGTTTATTATTTTCCTCCCTTACTTTACCAGCAAGAACCTACAATATAATTATTGGAGTTTGAGTATCTGTGGAATGAATACTAAAACCCAGCTGATGCTTAATATCTTAGTATTATTCTAGTTGGCAGAGACAGTCAATGGTGACTGTACACAGGGGGGGATATAAACAGTGGAGAACCCTTAGGTCAAGGTAACAAATAGGTGATTGAAAAATCAGTTATAAAAATGACATTTTTCTATTCATACATTTGGCTGATGCAGCTTGGGTATACATTTATTCCTTTATAGGGGAATGAAATAAGCATATTTGTTGAGAGATTAGAATCAGATATATATTTTGGGAAATTATGAATATACCAGTTATTATAATTAGCTACTTTCCTCAGTAACTTGTGTGCAATATTTGCTTTTATTCTGGCTGTGTTATCTTTTGAATCCAGTGGTGTATTTGTTCTGCAGTTATTTAACATGTCCCAGATTCAAGCTTATTCAGTGTCAGGAATTGAAACAGACATCTATAAGTCTCTAAGTATAGACACAAATAAAATTCATACAATAAGTTAGAAAATATATAATTGAGGAAATTCACAGAACTGTGTGCTGGAATATAAAATCAAGAACATGGACTTAGACGTGGTTATCAGGGCAGTCTTCCTGAGGAAGTGACTTAATGTTAAATGATTGAGAAAAGGTGTTTTCAGACTCAAACTTCAAGTGGATCATACCACAGCTATACTCATTCAATTTTACAGATTGTGACGGCTTTTGAGCTTAACAGCAGAGCTAAGTAATTATGACAGATACAACTTGTCTACAAAGCCTAAAACCTTCACCATCTGGCCCTTTATAGCAAAATTTGCTGAGTCTTGCTTCAAACCTTTAAGTCTGTTATTTCAGATCACTTTTTATTTCTATTGAAAGATGTAGCCCATCATTGCACCCTCAACACAGAAACTAGCATTATTATTTTTTTTTTAAAACAGATTTCACCAAGAAGTTATTTCCAGAAAAGGATGTTTGTGAAAAATATTTGTCTCAATTTCAGACAGTGGAAAAAAGTGAAACCAACAATGGGGATACCATTTTCAGAGATGGATTGCAGAACAAGCGTGAATTTGAGAGAAAAGAGGAACATCAGATGGGATGCATTAGTCAAATGATAATCCAAAACCAAATCTCTCTTCCTCTACAAGAGAAAATTCATCCTAGAGAGAAACCATATAAATGTAAGGAATGTAAGAAGGCCTTTAGACAACAGTCTTACCTTATTCAACATATGAGAATTCACACTGGTGAGAGACCTTATAAATGCATGGAATGTGGAAAGGCCTTCTGTCGAGTGGGAGACCTTAGAGTACACCAGACAATCCATGCTGGAGAGAGACCCTATGAATGTAAAGTATGTGGGAAGGCCTTTAGACTTCACTATCACCTTACTGAACATCAGAGAATACATTCTGGTGTGAGACCCTATGAGTGTAAGGAATGTGGGAAGACCTTTAGTCGAGTTAGAGACCTCAGAGTACATCAGACAATTCATGCTGGGGAGAAACCCTATGAATGTAAAGAATGTGGGAAGACCTTTAGACTTAATTATCAACTTGGTGAACATCAAAGAATTCACACTGGTGAGAGGCCCTACGAATGTAAGGTTTGTGGAAAGACCTTTAGGGTACAACGACATATCAGTCAACATCAGAAAATCCATACGGGTGTAAAACCCTTTAAATGTAATGAATGTGGGAAGGCCTTTAGTCATAGTTCATACCTTGTCCAACATCAGAAAATTCATACTGGTGAGAAACCCTACAAATGTAAGGAATGTGGTAAGTCCTTCAGTTTTTATGCAGAACGTACTCGACATCATAGAATTCATACTGGTGAGAAACCCTATGCATGTAAAGACTGTGGGAAAGCCTTTCGTCTTCGAACAGAACTTACTCGGCATCACAGAACTCATACTGGTGAGAAGCCCTATGAATGTAAAGAATGTGGGAAGGGTTTTATTTGTGGCTACCAACTTACTTTGCATCTGAGAACTCATACTGGTAATGTTCCTTATGAATGTAAGGAATGTGGGAAAACCTTCAGTAGCCGCTATCATCTTACTCAACATTACAGAATACATACTGGTGAGAAACCCTTCCTGTGTAAGGAATGTGGGAAAGCCTTTCGTCTTCAAGCTGAGCTTACCCGGCATCTCAGGATTCATACTTGCAAGAAACCTTATGAATGTAAGGAATGTGGGAAGGCTTTTATTCGTAGCAGTCAACTTATTTCACACCAGCGAAATCACACTAATGAGAATACCTATGAATGTCAAGAATGTGGGAAGATTTGTAGTCGTCGTTATAATCTTATTCAACATTATAAAATTCATACTGGTGAAAAACCCTATGAATGTAAAGAATGTGGAAAGTCCTTTCGTTTTCAGACAGAACTTACTCAACATCACAGAATTCATACTGGTGAAAAACCTTATAAATGCAAAGAATGTGGGAAAGCCTTTATTCGTAGCAATCATCTTACTCAACATTACAGAATTCATACTGGTGAGAAACCTTACGAATGTAAGGAGTGTGGGAAGACCTTTAGTCGTCACTATCGTCTTACTCAACATTACAGAATCCACACTGGTGAGAAACCCTACGCCTGTAGTGAGTGTGGAAATGCTTTTATTTGTAGTTATCAACTTACCTTACATCAAAGGATTCACTCTGGTGAGATTCCATATGTATGTAAGGAGTGCGGGAAGACCTTTAGTCGTCGGTACCATCTTACTCAGCACTTCAGACTTCATACTGGTGAGAAGCCTTATGAGTGTAAGGAATGTGGGAATGCCTTTCGCCTTCAAGCAGAACTTACCCGACACTATGCAGTTCATACTGGAGAGAAACCTTATAAATGTAAGGAGTGTGGGAAGGCCTTTAATGTCAATTCAGAACTTACTCGACATCACAGAATTCACACTGGTGAAAAGCCTTATAAGTGTGAAGAGTGTGGGAAGGCCTTTATTCGTAGTGACCAGCTTACTTTACACCAGAGAAGTCATACTAGTGAGGAAACACTATGCATGATGTAGAGGATACAATGGGTTCTTGTAAATGCCTTTTACATCGAGGATTCGTAATGTATTTTTACATATTAGGGAATATGTAGGAATCACTTTTGCTTCATATTTACAAATTATTTTACAATGTAGGTTTTTAAAGTTTAAAAACCATAACATCACTCAGTCTTGGTTCAGGTTTAGCAGATTGATTCTGGCACAGTGCAGCTCAAGCCATTGAGAACTTTTTCCCCCTCACAAGCTGATGTTGAGCAGTACTTCTGTAAAGTGCAAGAACATTGGTTTACAGGGGGACGGGGAGGAAATGGAAAGGAACACTATAGAAGCTCCATTTTTCTTATTTAAAGCCATAAATCATCTGTCAGATTGCTATAAATTTCTAAACGCTTGCTCCCACTGTCTGGCCCTTAACTCATTGTAGGCCAGAAGCAAACAATTCGTCCACATGGTCCACACTTTTAGAACTAGAACAGAAGATGATTGTTGATGAAATGAGAGTAGGAAGGACTTCAGCCATAGCACATCATTGTTCTAAGTCATAAGTTCACTTCTGCCTGTGCAGAAGTTGGTAAGACTCTTCCCTTCTGTGCCTCAGTTTTAAAATGGTAGTAATAGTATCTACCTAGTAGTATTTTTGTGAGGATGAAATAAAAATGGGAACTTTTAGAAGAGTACTTGAGAAAGCATGTGCTTAATATTACTGTTCTTATTTTGTTATATTTAATTGTAGATGGACACAATACCTTTATTTCTATGTGGTGCTGAGGATTGAACCCAGTGCCTCACAAGTGCTAGGCAAGCACACTGCACTGAGCTATAGGCACAGTCCCTACTATATTATTTTTATCACTAATGGTACCATTAGTAAATTCACTTAAAAGGAATACTACATGGGTGAACTTAAAAACCACACATTACCTTTCATTCAATAAATGTGAATAACCAGATAAAATCCAGTAAAAGAGAGTGAACTTCTATTTCCAAAGGCAGAGCTCATCTTTGAAAATAGGAAAAAGAAATCTCTAGATTTCATGAATGTAAAGATGACAAGAGTAAAGATTTTAAAGAATCAGGAAAGCTGTAATGCCTTTTCATGACCCAAAAACAAGATATGCTATAATTTATAATTTCTTCCCATTAATTGGTAAATTAGAAGCTACCAAAAGACTACTGTTCATTCAGAAAAATTAAGATAGTATAGTGACCCCTGGTGTGTCCTCACCATGTTCAGTAGTAATTAATATATAATTTGCTTTATATCAATATGACATTTACACCGTCTTTGTTGTAATATTTGAATATAAATGGATGTCATGACACGTCAACCTTTCAAGAGTAAAAGCTGCCTTCTACTTAATCACTACATAGCTTCACAACTAAGGAGATTAATTATTCTATAATCTCTAACATTCGGTCTCTTTTTTCTATCGTGGAACAGTTCAAGAGTAGCCCTTTTCCCCAATGTTATCACATTGACTTTTTTCAAAGTTTAGGATAGTTGTGTAGAATATTATAAATTTTTTTCTCATTGTTTTTTCAAAATATTTTTAATGTGCTCATTTATCCCCACTATTTCTCACGAATCGAAGTTAGAATTAGAAACTCAGTGAGGTTCAGATTAAATAATTTGACAAGAATACTTAATAGGTGATATTTGTATTGCAGTTGTAATCCATTAGTTGGTGTACAGTGTCACAGCACTACATTGTCCTTCATTGATTCACTTGATGCAGCAGATTGTACTTTCCAAAGAGCTCTACACCAGTGCATCCCGTTCTATATGCTAACCTTACAGTGTGATATTGCACTCTCCCGTCAAGAGGTAGGATCCATGTTCTTGCCTTTGAATCTGGGCAGGCAGTCCTGTGTTTGTGGCAGAAGTGACACTACATGAGTCCCAAGACTAACTCACAATAGGCAATATAGCTTCTGACTAATATACTTGGGATGCCAGACCCTAGGAAAGGTCCAGATAACAGGTTCTGATTAGAGTCCTGATTTATATTCCAGACAACAGCCCCATCAGGCACCAGGTATATGAGTATGTACAACCTTTAGATGATTCTAACCCTTAGCTTTCAAGCCAGCCCAACTGGTACCAAGTGGAACAGAGACAGCATTCCTCTGCCTGCCCAAATTGCAGATGCATGAGTGAAATAAATATTGCTTTAAGACACTAAGTTTTGGAACAGTTTGTTACACAGAAATAGATAATTATCATATAAACCAAGCAATTCAATTACCATGTTTCTTTGCTTTGGCACACTTGAAAATGATGAACTTTGAAGGTATGCCCCAACACATAGATGCCCTCAGCAAAGGGTGGAGAGACCTACTGGCTCAAGACACTGGAAGAAATCTTATATAAGATAAAATAGCTTTTAAAAAGTCACTAAAGACAAAGAGGGACATTATTTAATTGATAAAAGAGTAATCCCCTCAGTAAAATAAAAACAATTATGGATAAATATGCCCCTAACAAGACACCACATACATGAAACAAAAATTTGGAGGTAAAAATAGTTAATAAGATGGAGATTTCAACTCCCTATTCTCAATCATTTAAGGAAATCCAGCAAGGATATAGAAGACTTAACATTCTTTAAACAATATGCTGTAGTCTATAGGTCAAAAATTTTAATGAAGACCTAAGTATATTCTCTGATCACAATTACATATCACTAACTCAGGAAATTTGGTTAATTTAAAAAATATTTTTGAATTTCCAAAAACATTGCTAAGTGAATCAAAGAACACCATGTGAACAAAAGGAAAGAAAATGAACAATTGGAAAATATTTTGAATGAATATGAAAAAAAAATCAGCTTATGGGAGAAGTAATGGGAAGTTGAGTTTGGAATCAAAAGACTGAGAAAACAGCTATCAGATCAGAGATAAGGGATGGAAGAAATGCACAGATTCAATGTTGAAGGTCAGAGACTTGTAGAGACTCAAATTCTAGCTACTAAACTAGAAAACAGAAATTATTTGTTAACCCAGAACCC